TTTAATTCGTTTCGACATACGCGATTAATGTTCTTAAAAAGTTTTATATGAAAAAAATACATATGTAATATTTCAGTGAATAAATATCTTGGTGAATAAATTGTAATTACAGTTGTAAAAAAATAAATTGGGTATTTACAATTGAGTTATGAAAATAAATAGCTTTTTCACAGAAATTAAGAAGCGCCTTTGATATCTTCATCGATAGGATTAACTCATGTTGCTCGCGCGATCATTGATAATATAAATAAGATATTCTCTTGTTATATGAGAAATTCTATAGCTGTGCAGTGGTGAACACATCGGGGCGTTGGCGATGTCGGAGCCGGGTGCCGGGTCCGACGTTGTCTCCATGAAATTGCGGGCCGAGAGAAAGGGAGACTACTATGTCCTCAATGGCAACAAGTTCTGGATTACAAATGCTCCAGACGCAGATACACTAATCGTTTACGCGAGAACGGATCCGAATGTGGACAAACCGCAGCATGGCATCACAGCTTTCATCGTCGAGCGTGACACAGAGGGTTTCAGCACGGGGGAGAAGCTGGATAAGCTTGGCATGCGTGGTTCCAACACGAGCGAACTGATTTTCGAGGATTGTAAAGTGCCAGGTAAGTCGATCCGGCGCTCGAATGAGAAACGCGGAAAAGATGTAGAGGTTTGTTACAATAAAATTAATTTGTTGAAATAGAATAGAGTAAGAACTATAAGATATTTTCAACATTTTATTAAGTTTTATTTTTTTATTGGCTCATTAAAATTGATCATTATCCTTTTGTCTACCAAAAAGTCCTTATTTAAAATTTCTGTAAAATTGTAAATTTTTGTTACAGCTGCAAATGTTTTAGGAGAAATCAATAAAGGTATTTATGTGCTCTTTAGTGGACTGGATTTGGAACGATTAATACTATCTGGCGGACCCCTAGGGTAAGTTCTTAGAAAAACAACGAATATATAACACAAAATTTAGCTTGATTATTAACTTAGTATTTTTGTATTTGGACTTTGCACGTTAAAAGGAGCTTCATAAAAACTATTGGATGCACTTTTTGTGATCAATGAAATTAAAATTATATTTTTTGAAAGTTTGCTTGTGTAATAAATAGCGTGTTAAATATAAATTTTTACATTTCGGTGTGTATTATAGAATGACAGATTTAGACACTTTAGTATTAAATATCTATTTTTATCAGATTATTAATAAGAAATTATTTAAGCTTTATTCACAAACGAGCATTTATATTTGACTGTGTGCGATTTGAAACGTTAATTCTAGAATACTGCAAGCTTGTTGCGACGTTGCCTTTGAATACGCTCATACGAGACAGCAATTTGGCCAGTATCTTGCGAAATTTCAGATGATACAGGTAAAGTACAAGAATTACCTTATCTTCTTAAAAATTTTTTGCGATCTTCCATTGATATCATGATCTAATTATATCGTTTTAGGCGAAGGTAGCGGACATGTACACAGCTCTGAGCGCAAGCAGAAGCTACTTGTACTCTGTCGCTAGGTCCTGCGACGCCGGTCATATAAATCGCAAAAATTGCGCCGCGGTGTTGCTCTTTTCCGCCGAGAATGCTATGAAAGCGGCATCGGATGCTATACAGATACTCGGTAAATCTATTAAAAAAAAATGAACAGTAATAAATTATTTCGGATAATAATAATCATAATTATATCAGAAAACGTAGAGGATATAAGAATTTGGTAGAGAAAATAGATGTTTAACAATGTTTAATGAGAATGACAGTCGCGTTTTAAAAAATTTGTTTACAGGTGGCAATGGCTATATCAATGATTATGTGACAGGGAGACTACTTCGAGACGCGAAGCTCTACGAGATCGGTGCGGGTACCAATGAAGTACGACGTATAATCATCAGCCGAGCGATCACCGAGGAATATCTGAAATAAGTCGTAGTCCTGATTTGATGACTGTATGAGAAGAATGATTCTATTGAAGTATCTAAAAACTTAGATACAAATCTGAAAATAATTTTGTTAGATAATTTTGAGGCTTTCATGGGTGTTTTCTTCAGAGGTACCATAGGGTTATCACTGTGTCGTGATCCATTGCTAATGCCAATGTTTCGTGAACCTTACCGTTCACTTCATCAGGGTGAGGAGCGCACTGATACTGAGCTGCTCCTCCGTAGGATTCTCTTTATATAAACTCCCTTTATATATAAGATAAATTTTGTTAGACCATTAACATATTTATGTAGGAAGCATGACAGTTGATAAGCAACGCTGCAAAAAGTGTTGACATTTATAAACAACAGTTTGAATGTCCTATGCAATTTTGACAAAATCATTTTTAGATTTAATCTAGCTAAATTTTTAGATACTTCAACAAAACCTTTCTATTTACGGTCATGTACGACAAACGCATTATGCAACATATAAGTTCGTAAATTTGAATTATTATTTAATGATTGGTTAAAAAGACAGCTATTATAACATCGTATAACTGCTGTATTTTAATGGATGATGAATTATTCATGCAATTATTCGTTCATTCATACATGTTACTGATATACATATTTCTTATAATTTTTATATTTTTTTTTATAGAATATTTTTTTATAGAATATGGTTTATTATTTTTGTAAGATTTTAAATCTTTATTGTATTTAACAGAAGAGTAGGCAAGAGGAGAATTATTAGATTTATTAGAATTATATTTTACGTAACAAAAAATGCTGATATGATTTCCACGAAATCGGAGATGTACTAAACTGATTCTGACGATCAAATCTTTTTTCTCTTTTTTTTAAGTTCATCCGCAATACATAATTAAATGATGATTCATTATCGTCGAATTCCAATGTTGGACATATCGCATATTGGCGATATGCGTTAATGATTCTATAAATTAAGGTAAAGTGAGTCACTAGAGCGATTGACTAACCTTTTGCGCTATAGGTTGCTAATTTAAGTCGTACAAACACGCGTTCTTTCTCTCTTTGTCTCATTATTTCACTCTCTTTCTTTCTCTCTCGTCTCTGGTTCTCTAGTCACCGTTAATTACAGTGCAGCCAAACTAATTGCATCGAAACGGCCTGCATAGGGGAGAAGTTTCTCGCCGTCCGTGAACGTATTCGCACGGCGGAAGAAGAGTGTGAGTGCCTTATCTAGACGGGGGGAAAACGCGACTAGAATCAAATTTTCGAGGATGGCTCTCAAGTTCTCCATAGGCCACTTTTACGAGACCTATGTAAGTACGAAGGGTACGCAACCCGGAAGAAATCCTTTCGATTTTCTTCCTAATTATATTCCAATTTATACTCCAATTTATACTCCAATTTATACTCCAATCATCTGATTACCGAAATTATCGACTTCTGATAGTAGAGTTTTTTAAAGAAGTCTAGATAGCAAATTTGTAACTCCTTTTTCTAGAGCGAAAATGTGAGAAGTGAAAAATTTCTCCATTACTTGCAAAGAAAATTTTCACTTTTCACATTTCTGCCTTAAGAAAAAAATAGAATCATTCTTCGTCTTGCGGAAAGTGTGACAAATCATGGGCTTAACTGAAGTTACATTAAAGCAAGTATAATTTATCGATTAAATGAATGGCTTAAAATGGTGATGACAAAAAATATTTGATAATAGAAGTAAAGCGACAATTTGAACTTTGAAATTATGAATAAAATATCCGAATATATCTAGTTTTCTGTTAATTACAAACAGTTAATTTCTTGTGTGAAATAAATTAACAAATGAATCTTTTCTGAAATTCGACGTCGAATTTGCGAATAAAGAAGCTGTCGTGTAGATATGTAGTGTGACAAAATGGATTTCATTTGTCAGCTTTCATCATGGATACTAAGCTGTATATAATAAGACTGTCCCACTTACAATAGTTCGCTTATGAAACATGTGTCGAACACATTTCGAACTGTGTCAATAAAGTTGCGTTATATGCATGAAAGTTATTACAGAAATTATTTTGATATTTTCGTCATGTCCATTTCAATCCTTTCTCGACATATTCGTCACGTTTATCGTATATCATACATAAAATTCATATGAAATCTTAGGACTCTACATTATGGCATCTTACATTGTATGCCACTAATAATTTCTGTAAATTATTATGATAAATAGTTTCGCATAATGTTACAGAATTAAAGCTACATTTAATTCTATATATCTCCTTAATACTGAAGAAGTTTTTTGGAGAAATGATGTCCAGAATTATTAGATTTCAATGATATTACATTTTAGATTCATGTAAGATGATCTTCGATTTAAATTTTAACTTATTTTGCCGCCTGTTGACTCATTTTTATTAGATTGAGTTGTCATGTTGAATTAATCGAAAGTAATTGTTTTAAGTACTGATTTTAAAAGAGCCATCAGAAGAAATCATTATTGTTTTAACTATTATAAAAAGCGATATTAAGAAGTAATGGTTATTAGAAATATTCTTTTCCAACCGCGCATTCTGATGTTGCTGAAGTATAATTGTGTAGTTGTTCAAGATTTTTTTTCTTTATAAAATTACGTAAAAATTCAAATAACAAGAGAAAAGTTTTTGTAAAATTTTCTCGTCTTTATAATATATTTATCATCTTCAAGGATTTCTCGCGGTAGTTCATATTTATTCTTCGCTGATAGTTCGATTTTCTCTCTCAAGGCGAGACTGTAAAATATTTATGCACGTATGCACGCATACACATAGTAAAGACCAAAGAAACGAGTGCGGGTCGGACCATCAGAACAATACGCCAACTCGAAATGGGGCCAGAATAGCGAAGAAAGAAACAGAGAGACTAGAGGCGGTGGTCTCTCCGTTAGAATTGAGCAACTAAAGTTCTCTCTTTCCCTCCTTCTCTCTCTCTTTCTCGCTTTCCGCTCAGGGCTCTGTCAAAGTCGGCATATAGTCGGCAAGTGCTACAGCTGCAGCTGCTATCTCAGTAGCGAAGCAGAGAGCGATCACGATCCGGGAGATCCATCGTTCGCGACTGTTCGCGGGAGGTCTTTTCTTCTTCTGAGAGAGTCGGCTCTTTTTTCTTCTTGGAACTTACTCCTCTTTTTATCTCTTTTCCTCTCTCTCGTCGTTTTGCCTACGTAGTGCATCTCGCGATTGATTGAGTGCTTGTGTCGTGGCTATTTGTTGTGTTATTGTTGGTGGTGGTGTTGACTGAACCGAGTCCAGAGTATGACGAGAAGGCATACATTGATTGTGAAACTTAAGAGATCCAGCACCGGCAGGCCATGGGGCATAAGGATTGCCGGAGGCGCAGATCTGGGCACGCCGATTGTTGTCACCCGCGTGAGTCTGCTTCTTCTTCCCATCTTAATTTCTGCCCGATCTCCTCACATATCTTTAATTAATTTTTTATTTAAATTGTGTTACAATTCTCCTAACGAGGTTTTAAATTAATTGCTTCGATGTTAAACCTAAATTTGTTCTGAAGTTTTATGGTCGTTAAAAGAAAGGATGACATAAACAATAATGAAAATATGATAAATGTAAAGAAAAAGATAAATATAATGAAAAACAAGAATAATGAATTTTTTTATGTTTTAAATAGAAGTAATAAAAATAATTGAATTTACAATTATAATTTTACATCATGTTTATAATTTACTTGTCGTAATATTTTAATGATGTAAAGTCCTAAGTCAGGTTTATGCTTCTAATTGTAAAAGCTATAGTAATCAATGAATCTTCGAATATGTATTTCGTAAAAACAGTATGCAAATCTCTTTCTTTACGGCATTTGATAACGGATTTTGTTATATCCGGGCAATGATTTTTATCCGGGAGGAATGAGACGTTTCTCTCATTATGGAGACTTCGTTACGGTGTCCGCTTACTTGGCTTTGATACGATTTCGCACTGGCGAACGCCGCGGCGGAACAATAGAAGTGGACGTAACGCAATCCCTGTGAACGTTTGAAATGGAGAAGGCTGCCAAGGAATTCTCAAATCAACAATTCGATCTAGCGCCCGTTGACATTGATACACGATACGGCGCGTTGCATCCCGGAGCTTACGCCGAAACACAGTCCAATGAGATGACAAAAGTGTCTTTTTGTTAAGCGCCTAAAATCGTATACGCCTAAAATTGAAGACTGAACTCGTATTGTTACAAAAATATTCTTAATTCTTTACTTTTGTCTTGTTTCTGTTTTTATCAATAAACTGACAGATAATTCGAATACTATTTATTACCAAATACTTCTGTTGTTTTGCCTCATAATATTCCGTAATTTATCTCATTTTACATAACATTTCGACAATCTTTTTTTTATGAGTGTCTTTTCATACATAAATTTTTTTTGAATTTTTGAAAACGTATCTGCCATCAAATTATAATGACAAGTAACAAGATAATATTATTCTTTTACTTTGACTATTACTTTTTAAAACCTGTTTAGACAATATCTTTTACAATTTCAAAAGAAATGAACTGTTAAGCTTTCTGGTCTATTTAAATTTACTGTAATTATAATCGTTTAGATTAATATGATTAAAAAGTTCTAAAAAATAAAAAATAAATTTTCACAAAAGAAAGGATTTTATCTAAGAAAGGATTTTTAAATGAAACATTAGTAAAAAATAAATTACATTTTGGTCAAATAGAGTCAAACAGAACAGAATTGGAGCAGATTTTTACTCTTTGTCACATTATTTTAGATATAGTCGATATTACTTTTAATTATTTCTTGAACACAATAATTGAAAAGTTAGCACAGTGACAATAATTATTGCTAACAACGTCGGGTCGATGATCTGCTTGCAGTCGGAGAACGAGGCGCTCCAGAAGGGTGACATGATCAAGAAAATTGACGATTACGACGCGCGTGATGTGAGGCATGTAGACGCACAGAATCTCCTCCAAAACTCCGAAACCATAAAGCTAGTTATCGAAAGGTCTGAGCCATCGAGAGTATCATCACGTACAACCACCGACACTACCTTCACTACGTCACCATCACCACCCACGATTTTCAGGCCGATCGTTGGCAACGGGGCTGCGGCCACTAGTCTGTCAGAATGCAATATTATTTCTATTATACGCGTTTTTTTCACAATACTGCCACAGCAATGACACCGCGTTGCCGCCGCAATATCGCAGCACGCCACTGATTAATTTGCCTTCTCGATTAATCAGTTTCTCTCTTCGCACAAAGCACGACTGACATTTTTGGCCGCTGCTTTGGAACTTCTACCACTTACTTTTGCACCTCGGCGATCGTCTTTACGTTTGAAAAATGTTTAGCCGAAACTGTTTTTATGGTGTATAAAAATATTAAATGATGTTTATTAAACATATTTTGTACATAACTGTGATTATTGAATATAACTGTGTTACTCTTGAGTTCTCTTGAGCTGTAAAGCTGATTTTTTTCGAGTTACAGTTAAGAATCATTTTTATACGATTAATTCTGTACAATTAATACATTTTTACTTTAATGTCCTGCACGATTGGAGTCTCTGATTTTTTTTTCTTTGCAAAATCACAGTCAATCGGCCTATTTTTAATGTGTAAAAGGTGTTCGTCGAGGACCCGCCACGAAGCTGCTTGTGTTCTGCCGCTGCTGCGACACAAATGCGCAATCTGCTATATCATATTAACGTTTCTTCCATTTCTTTCACGCAGATACAAACAGCCGAAGGAGTATCCGCAAGAATTACCAAAGAGCCCAATTCGGCCGCCTTCGGTCGAGGAGTACAGGTCAACGCCAACTCCGGAATATACCCTTCGCAGTACGATCATTATGCCGCATGAACACCTCGACGAGATTCGCGAGGAAAGAGTTCATTTGTCGCAGGTATTAAATTATTTTTTACTATTTTTATCAACAAAAAGACTCAAATAAAAAGACTTATATATAAAAAGATTAAATTAACAATTTTAATATAAAGACTAAATAATTGAAAGTAATTAAATATATAAAGTAATTAAATAAGTTATACAAAAAATAAAAGAAATAAGTTACGTCAAAATTTACAATTTTATCTTACAAAGAATTGGTTTGTAGAATAAACTTTCCTTTGTTAGAAATAAACCTTCATTAAATCAATAAAAGCATTTTGCGATTTTGAGTAAAATCTTGATTGTGTTTAAAGCCAGCCGGTCTCACTTAACTACTGTTTAGATCTAACGATAAAATCGATATAATAGTTCTTGAGATTTTAAGGAATCTGGAACGAAATTTTGCGTTTAGTCTTTGAAAATCGAACTTTCAAGCACACGTGTCGGCAATACAAATTCGCTGGAGAGTTCATTGATCCGCACGAAGTCGGCTTTGTTTTAGTGTATAAATCTGACCTCGTATTTACTTCTTTCCTGGATTAAAATAGCCTACATTAATAAAACAACGTGGCTATATATCGTTGAAAAATATCTCTCTTCCAATCTTAATGTTAATGTAATCTTAATGCGTTAATTTTAATGTAATCTAAACACGCAGGGAAATTATGCATATATAAATAATAAGACGTACTAAGATGTATTTTAAAACGTAATAACATTTAGAAAAAGAAAGTTTTATCATATCGAAAGCTTAAATTAAAATTTATTATTTAATTATAACACTGAAGGAAGAAAGAAATGCGCGTTGTTACGTAGGATTATCGACATCAGCAGACGCTGATTCGGCAAAACGTAATTGACAGCTTCGAAATTATGCAAGCGAAAGCTAAAAGTAGATACGAAATACAGATCCGAAACCGTCTCGTCGTAACTCCTTGCTTATCACATAAATGTCTTTTTTATTTATTTTCCAAGAGTTCTCGGGGATTTCTCTGTAACGAACTGTTAAAACATCGCGAAAATTGTATAAATCAACAGGATTGCTCTTACATCTGAAAATGTTTTTCTTCATCTTTTCTTGAATAATTATTTGAAAAACACGAAGAGCTTAGCTCTGCAGGATTCATTGAAGGGAGGGAACGAAAGAATCGTAATCCGAATTAAACGTTCGATCTGCTCGTAATACAAAGTTATGTTTCAGGAAGATTTGGAAAAACAGATTGAAGTACACATCGTAAAATAAATATATAGATACGGCTGTGTCAGAGGCACGCGAATCACTGTAATAAGAGTCCGAACTCTGGTTTCTCGAGTCAGTACGATCGTAGCGTCTGGCAAGCTTGAGCTCGTTCTGAAATACCCTTCTGTACTTTGAAATCCAATAACTCATTGCCGGATCATGCTTCGGATGTAGTGTGACAGGACATTTGTCGTGTTTAATCCGTCTCCCACTCATTTCGAAACGATATGGTTCAGGTGACGAAATTTTGGCCCGTCGTGGTAATCAATAATATATCAGTGACGGAATTGAGTATATATGACGGCCCTTAAAATTTTGCAAAAAAGGTCTCGTAAACGGCAGTTTTAATTAAAATTGATTCAATTAATCACGTAAATGTATGATCAATTCGACTAACTCGTAGAGGCAGAGAAAAAGTTGTGGATTGCGAGGTTTTGGAGAAACGTTGAAATTTTGCGATTTTAACGACAACGGGGGAATGATTTGCGATATCGCGATTTCGCATCCAGATGTCTCCCGTCGTTTAACGAAACGTTTTAACTGGTTTCGCAAGAACGATACCGACGAGAAAGAGAGAGAGGTAGAGATAGAAAGAGAGAAAGAGCGAAGCGAGTCATCGCGGTTTATTACGACGACATCGAGTATATCGCGGTACCAGGGTGCACCGTGCATCGCTACGAACCGACGGAGGTGCCTTTATTCGTGGGAAGTCCGAAGTGTGAATATATTTTTGTTGGCCCGCCACGATGCCGGAAAGTCCGTCGCCACCAGTAGAGCCGGTTGCCATACGCTATAAATATCGCTTTTGCATCGAAACCACCTCTGCCTGTCCCGATCTGATACGTCCCGCAGATTCAGGACTTTCGCCTTCCACATTCTCCGTACGGTGGAATTCATTTTTCTTTTGCGACCCCAAATAATAGAGCGTATAAAGAAGCAAATCTTTCCCTGATACATTAAAAAATATTTAAATTGAAAATAACGTACTCGAAATTTTTTTAAAATAATACGCTAATAATATTAGTCATCTTTGATTAGGAAAAAAATACGATATTTAAAGCATTTTGTATATGACGTTGTTTAATAAATAGATAGGATAAATGAAAGATTTATCGAGATCTCATTTTGGCGATCGAAATTTACACACTCTCGAGTAACTCTCTCATTAATCTTATCGCGAAATTTTGTTGCCAAAGAAAACGGTTGCGTTCTTCGATCATTTTGTGGTAATAATTATATAGCTTGTAAGAAATTTTAGAAGCTAAGAACACGAATAAAAATATTGATTGTGAATAATTTTATTAAAAAAAAAATCTAAGGAATTTTGAAGGTCTTTTAAAAAATACATTTAAAAAGGTACATTCAAAAAGAAGGTACACTTATCAGCTAAAAGATTGCAACAATAGGTCTGTTCTTTTTAACTGAACTTTTGTACCAGTTCATCTTTCTTCCTCTTATTTCCTCGTGGAGAGAAAAGAAAAAAAGATGCAAAAGTTTAGTCAAAAAGAACAGGCCTATTTTTTTTGTGGATTTCAGAACTCGGTCAGCCTTTCTCGTAAAGTGGTTGAACGTAAAATGGTTAGATCTACAAGTAAGAACCAGTTGCTTGGTTGCATTTTGAAACCCACTGGAAAAAAAAACTTGCAGAAGGTTGTAACCTTTTAACTTGAAAACAACCTTTTAATTGATAAAAGCGTATACATTAAAAAAAGAATCGTCAAGAATGTACAACAAGAAAATTAATGAAATTGTCTCAACCATTGAAATTATCAATTGGAGCTAATTAAAGGATAATCAGCAAGAATGTACCTTTGACCTAAAAACCCGACATATCTTTATTTATTTATAAACGTATCTACTCCTATTTTTTAAAATCAGATGATAATTCGATTACAGTCGCTGCGTCTGAGATTATTGAAGAATATTCGACTTGTAACGTTTTTTTCGGTGTCAAGAGCTTTTACGAAAGCGAACGAGTTTCAAGAGAGGTCTCCGGAGAGAAAGAGAGAGAGAGAGAGGAGTCTCGTGGAAAAGGCCAGAGTTAGTGCCGCCCGCGCTCGCGTCGAGCCAGTAGTGCTTAAGCGCGAATAATCCCGCGATAGTCGCGAACGAGGGACGACGTGAGAACGAGGACGATTGCGAGAGCCGCGAAAGGGTTGCCGCGCGCGAAAGGGGTGACATAAGGTCGGTGGTTGCGAGGGAAGCTCTCTCCGCGGGACGCCTCTCGGACGGAGACGAGAAGATGCCCGCTTACACGACCGTCTATCGTTACAACATCGAGCATCATCCGAAGGAGGAGGAAGCGGCTGTTTACTGGGTACGAAAGAGACGAGAAGTTTCATCGGTTTTGCTTAGGCTCGAATTAAAGGAGGAAGAATCGGGCAGGGGCAAAAACGCGAGATGATTCTCCTCTTTGTCCTTGAACGTGCACCTTCCTCGTGGCCAAGATGTGCTTGCGGATCTCGCGCGCGAGTGACGAGCTACATTGTTGAAAAAGCATCGCGGAGACGTCCGAAAAATACGTTAACGTAAAAGTTTTGTTCTTATCTTTTCAAAATTCTTTTCCAGAAATTTTTCTGCTCCAAACGAATATTTCTAGATTAGAGATAGCGCAAGTCACGTGCATTTTAGGGTAAAATCTGTATTCTTGCGATGTCAGATTTGGTTCTCTCTTGATAGAGATATCTCTTAGAATTTTTCTTATTTAACGTCCGATTATTTTAAGCCTTTTTTAATTGATTAAATAATTCACATTATTGGTGAAATTATATATGGGAAAATTATTTATTTAGTTATTTAATTAATTATACAAATAAGAAGAATAGATGTAAATTAAAAGTATATGTTCATATATAAGTAGATTTATTTATTACTATAAAAATTACGTTCTTTTAACATTAAGTGATTTTCTCTCACGATTTTCTCTTCTCATTTGAACGCTGCATTACACTTGTTAGAACATTCTCACCACGTTTTATAAAATTTCTTGTTTTTTTGTCTGGATGATATTTATGTATTCTTGTCCACGACAAGATATAACAACCATAAAGCTCGAGCTTAAGAACGTCGCTGTACCACCCTAAAAATATCAAAATTCAATAGCAAGTTTTAGTTCCACCCGTCGACACGTCGATGTCGAATAACGACAATAAGCAATAAGCTCGCCAGACGATCTAGATTTCGCGTTGTTCAACCTTGACACGGTACACAAACGTGTCCGCAGAACAATTCTGCTATTCGCAATGGAACTTGATTAATTTCGGCTATCTCGCCCCCGAGAAGGGTACGCCGATTTCGGAGTTAATCGGAGCAACCCAGATGAAAGGCAGACTTGCGCGGGCGTTAATAACATGCTATGCAATAAAACCCACGTAAGCATCGCCATCACGGATGCCGTTCATCGGTATCGCGTTCTATTTTCGTGAACGGGATCTGGGTTACTCACGAACACGTAGGAGAAGTCGTCATACAAAGACACACCCACGGTCCGCGTTTTTCAAACTTACCTCCCGTTCGAAAAATCGAGAGACTTTTCAAAAAGCAATGTTTTTAATACGATGATTAATCAGCTTGTCAACGAGTTCCAGAATTAGTGATCATTTGTTAAATTTTATTTCCTGAATAATATTTAAATGGGAATGTATTATTTTTGGATACATAAAGCGATAATTTATTCTATACCATAATAGAAAAATTTATTTTTAATATTTATTATTTTTTTCTTGTTGGAATGCAATAAAACGTTCAAACTTGATGAAAAAACTGAGAAATATAAAAAATAAGAATTAGTGTGTCTTTATATATTAAACGTTTAATTATTTTAATCAATTGATTTACTCTTAGTTCGGCAATACGGTTTTAAAATCAGAAAGCGATGTAATGAACTAATGGACGATTTTGACATTAACTATTTTTACGTCAGAAATGGAACAAATCGAAATTTACTGATTATAAAAAAAATATTATTTTAATTATAATTTTGTGTCTTCCAGTATGTGTTAATGAAGTTGAAACATCTGTTCGTTAGCGTGCCTCTTGCCAACGTGCTCCAATCGGTTTCCAAAGAGTTCAAGTTTCATCTCGACGCCAAGCAATAAACACTTCGTGAAACAGCTGTTTTGCTCCGTCTGAATTTAGTTTGAAAGACCTTTTACAAAACGACGCACGAGCGTGCGCACGCTCACGCAAATCTTCTAAAAAAAGAAAAAGATCGTAGATTTGTAAAACAAAAATTTCGTTGATTAATTAATTATTAAATCAATCAACCGAACTCGATTTTTAAATAATCATTATATACTTCACCATTTTTAGGAGACAATCAGTCCCTCTCCTTCAAATATTAAACTTCATACAAATAAAAACTTCAGCATTTCATTTTTCAAATTTAAAGGAATAAAATTAAGTAATAAATTTAATATTAAGTAAAACAATTTCTCGCATTTAATTGATTAATGATTTTAGATCTTTAAAGTTTAAAAAGCACAGGAAAAAGTTTTTGTAACATTAGTGGATTAGAATCGGTTTCATCTAAATTTATCTATAATAAATACTTCCATTTATTTCAAATATTGTACATCGAGATATTTGTCATTAATGTCAAAATGGAAGTAGGACGCCCTTTGGGTTTTAGACAGCTTTGCATCCGACTCATTCCTCCTTTCTCAATCATCGTGCGACCTTGCCAACGTTCCCCGTCCAAGAATGAAACGGGCGAAACGCTTCCTGGTGAAAAAGTCACGGGCGGAAAGAAGCGGACAAGAGAGGTTCGAGGGGATAAGCGGTTTTTGTGGCTCAGGGTGCGCGTTATTTTTGCCGGCCGGGGGCCTTCATCTATTTCGAGAGAGTCACTCGCGGCTCACCCTCTAACATAATGGAACATTTCTGACCCATTTATAATGGAATCATCGTAATCGTGCGATTTCATGTCGTGAAACCCGCGTGCGAACTTGCAACCGCGACCGCGATTCTAAAATCGTGAAACGTTCCAACGTGCACATTAGCGGAAAAAGCATAGCTTTGTTTTCTCTACAATTTTTTAATACTACTAGCCTTGCTGTTATAGTTCCTTACTTGGATTTAAATGTATAAATTAATCATATTATAAATCTTACAACAGTCGTGCAAAGCTACTTTTTCTGCTAAACGCAGCCAATACTTCTGAACAATGGATGCATAATTCAATTCTACTGAAGAGCTCGAACTTCATAAATTATACAGGAAATTTTGTATTTTTATATATATTGGAATATATTTATTATTTAATCTATTAAGCCGCAATATTTGTTAAACTTGTTTATTATTATCTTCAATTATTCGAGTGACGACCAATTTTTAATTGGTCGTTGTAAAGATAATAATATCTTTTAGAATTACACTTCTTTTATCTCTTATTATATTTTATATCTTCGATTAATCCAGGCAGAACGCAGTGTTATAATAAAATTATAATGATATTACAGGACGTCATCATGACGTCACTTGATATTGAACAAAATAAACTTATAAGTAATAAATAAGGTCATGATGATGTCCTTATATTATTATGGCCTTTTTTCTATATTTTACTTGAAAAGAAATTGATCTAAAAAGTTGCAAAAATATAAAAGTGAAAAAAATTTTATTACCAGATAAAGATATGTAATATTAATACGTACGTCTGTGGTATTTTTCTATTGTACTCTGAAGCTCAAGATGTAATAATTTCAAAACTGACGGAAACGTTGCTGATAAATTGCTCGTAAATCTCAAGTCGCTCTTCAAAAGCGATTAAATGTGACCTTTACTTGGAAAGTAAAATGAGAAATTGTTTTCCGAGGAAATATCACGAAAAGTTTTATTTACGACTCTCTCCAAAGGTCGCGATAATAATGCCTGACATTTCCACATTTTCATTCTGGCTTGCGACTACTCGAGAATATCCGCGACAGAATATTACAGAGAATTCGTCTGAGATTTCACCTCACGTTTGTTTTCACGGATGTTTCAGTAACTCGTACTGTAAACATAGAAGATCCGCGTGGCGAATCGACGATGTACGATGCACCTGCAAATTTGCGTAATTTCGTAACATCGCGCAAAAACGACGGCACGTGACTTGGCAAGTTGAATTCGTCCGTAATGCCACGAGGATGACCGTCTATTTGATGTAATTTTCTCATTGTGAGCCAGCTGCGCGAAATTTTCGCTTCTTTAGAGGCGATCATCGTTAAATAACATCACTTCCGGTTCGTAACGTCATTAGCCAGAAATATCCGACCTATTAGAACATTATTTATACTATGAAAATATAGAAAATATATAGAATAGCTATAATGGAGTTATTTATTTGGTTTAAGAAGTTAAATATTCATTGTTTCTCTTCTAAAATGATTTAGAATAGAACAATTTGAAAACAAAAGAAATAGATATTCGTGAAAAGGTCTTATCCGTCACAATGTGATGTTATCTAGTCGTTAATTATTTTAAGATATCTTTTAAAGAGATATAAAACTGCGACTATATAGTAATTGATATGTTGTTTTTTTATGACTCAATATTTTTTTTAACTTGCATTTTATCTCATTAATATTATGAAATGGGATCACTGTCAAATTAAGCTGTGACATCATCATCATTATTTATTTTTGTCGTTGCTCGGAATTATGCGACGTAAGAAGCGTTAAGAATTAATGAGCCACCTTTCGATCACCATGGCCTCTATTGCGGTTTATTTTAGATCTCGTTATTTAATTAATTGGCATCGCTTCGACAAGATATTATTTCTGCCCTATTAACTATTACTTGCGTAGTTACTATCATTATCATTAATATATATATATATATGTATATACATGAGATAAATGAGTACTTTCATTTAAAATTATGCATTTCGTTTTTAATAACTGTATTTTATCTATATTTTCTTCAGAAAAAATATTATATAGTTTACAAGATATAATATTTATTATTATTCAAAAAACAGGTACAAGAAGGAGACATTCGAAGCTCTAAAATATCTAAACAAGCAATTTATTAATGCAAACAATGTTGTTCATGTGACAATAGAATTGATAACCCTTTTCCCCCCAAAAATTCTTGATACACTTATGAATAATTATATATATAAGATAGTAAAATATAATATACCGATGCCGACTGAGTTACAATTGTGAAATCTTTCAGCCCTACCGTACGACTCCTCTGGTCTTGCCAGGTGCCAAGGTCAAGAAGGATGCTCCAATCGGTGAATGTTACCTGCGACATCATCCGAATCCGATGATCAGGGCAGCACCCCATCATTACGAACCAGCTCATCCTGAAGTTGCTATGAAACAAAAGGTAAATCGACGTTATAAAATCATCCGAATACATTCAATCCCTCCGACGTACTTGCAAATAAGTTCTTCTATTTTTTTGGAGACGCATTTGTCAAGTCAGGATTTAAATTATATTTTATTTGCACGTCTCGTCTGAGCAGGTGGCGGAAACAGTACTTCACCGTGTCGTGGGACCGAATGAAGTTCCAAAGGTTTGGATCACTTCCGTTGTTTACTTTCGTAAGCCGCTTCTGCTTCGAGAAACGCTTACGCTTTCTGGAGAAACCAGATATCTGCAAGAAACTTGAGTTTCGTTTGACGAGATATCCCCGCTGTTATGATATTTTTCGCTAATAACTAATAATTATAATCGCGAGGTTAACGCGATTATTACAGGATTAATACAGGATGTCCTCTGGATTCATTTGTAACTTGATAATCCGAAAAATAATACCAACGTATCGATTACACTGTGAATCGATACAGCTTGCATCGACTCCTATTTATGATTAAAATTAATTGAATTGAATTATTTTAATAATTAAATTCAATTTAATTTGTGATATAAATTAACTTGATTACCAAAAATTCTTATTTTGAATAATATTAATTTACCGGTAAAAGTATTGCTTTAATTGCCACTAACGTGTTTCGAAATATGAAAATTCTGAAGGTACAAGATGTAACGAAACCGGGAATAGTGATGATTATGACATTATTTTGTGATGACGATGCTTTATAGAATAATAAACGTCGCGTGAGTCAAGCCCGTTTGTTAATACTGCGAATTTTTGACATAATGGAAACTTGGCATTAGTCAAATACTCGTTCTGTTCACAGTGCCAACAGACTAGAGTTATGTATATTTTTTTACAGCGCTATATTATCATAACGTAATACCGTAGTCGCAAGCGACACGACTCGAGGACAGATCGCAACAACAATACGCAACATCTTTAGTGAACATTCTCTTTAGTAAACATTCACATTAATAATACGTTAATATATAGATTCCGCTTATACTATACAAAATTTTCAAAACATCCTGTGCTGGTATAGCATTATTTTTCAAACATTTTGTATCTTTAAATAAAAGTTAAAATAAAAAAAGATAAACGAAAATAATCTTTTTTACGCTTCTGCTTACAAAACTGTCATTTTTGGTCGTGTTGTCTCAAATGAGAACTGTTTCAAGTTCTATGCGATATGTGCTGTAAATTCTGTGTTACATCGATTGTGAACGTTCAATTGTGTCTTTCTAGATTGTCCACAAGCAATTCAACTCGCCGATCGGACTTTATTCGGATCAAAACATCGCAGACACTATCAAGTGCCAAGCGTCCGCTATACCGTAAGTAGTCAATCTACTCACGCGAGTGTCCACTAAATTCTCTCTTAACTATTCTTTAACCACTGAACATATTTAAGCATATACATATATATAACGAATCGCTAATGCCGTGATGCTTGCAGCAGTCACAGGTTAATACAATTAATACAAAATTGGCTTCACCGCTGAATGCCGCTCACACTCACGTAAATCGCTATCATATAATAAAAATCGTGTGCGAGAAAGTCTAATTGTCACGTGAATTGAAATTAACAGGTTAATTCGCACGGTTGATAATCGCAGTGGAAGACGATAATGTGAAAGATAATTGGAGTGAATTCAAAGAAATCGACACGAATTTATTCTGGGAAAAAAAAAAGAATTTTTATTAATCTGTATTAATCCACTTATTTTGTACAGGCGTGTTTTTTAATCAAACGTCTATGAAGCGTTAATGATTTACGCCAAAATAATTTTCTGAGACTTGTTTTTAGAAAATAACGGAACGCGAATGAAAAAAATTATCCTTTTCGAAAGACGACGTTTCCATGAAGGCTGTAATTCGGGAAAAGAAATTACCAATTGGAGAAATATAAATCGAGTTTATTCGGAGGACGCACGATCGTCGATCGTTAAACGAGAAGGGATATCGGCTCCTTCTCTCTTTTTTCCTGTACGGCTCTCTCAGATCCTTCTGATGATTGATTACTTACGTAGCGGTTTGTTTGTTTTCCAGCATTTTCATAGACTTTTCCTTCCTGAAACAGAAACAGGAAATACAGGAGCAAGCGAGAATCTTGAAAGAGCAGGCGAAGGCCGCTGCCTCGAAGAATGTGTGGCCGCAATTCAATAAACCAAATTAAAAATTGTCGAGAGACGTTCGAGACGTTTTCCGATGCTTCTCGTACGTCGGATCTACGACGGCAGAGTTTCCCGGTTTTTACGTGAATCATTGGGCACGTTCTCTTATTAAAACATAAAAAATTATGCATATTGTCTGTAAAAATTGTTAAATTAACAAAATTTTGCAATACAGTTTAATGAGAAAACTTATACGAAAAATTGAGATCACTGAAAATATTGAGAAATAATTATCACAAGTCAACAGAAATATTTTGGGTATTCATTCAGTTAATAATTCGATTATTCCGCGATGCTGTTATTAAAACCTCACAATTGAATTATTTGTCTCAAAAATGCAGAAAATCTTTCCAATTGCTATCAATATTTGAATTAAATCTGAGTAATTAATTTAAACGATTGATTTAATTGTTGATAGTATTTAACACAGCGAACGTGGCCATTGAATATGCGAGTCCCTCGAAATGATTGTGCGATTATTATTTCGGGTTAGTTTGCCGTTCATATTACATATATGTATAGTAAAAATCGTAGACATGAATTATTTGACAAAATTGTAAATTTCGTAAGGTCTCTCCGCGAGTCCGTACAAAAAAAGCTTTTCCTTTAGCAGTAAATTCTTGCATGTAGCAGAAGTAGTGAATAATCAATAACGTGAATATAGTAGTTGAGAATATGTGAGAATATCTACTAACTTCGTCGTTTCCTTAACGAGTGTTCGTATGCTTGTATCGTAGATACCGTGCACGAATAATTCGAGACGACTTTTGAAAATTGCGCCATTGCGGAAATCTATTTTTGCTGCTTCTATTTTTTTGAGATGACGAGCACCGCAGAGAATTTAATGGGAATAAAAATAATCTGAAAATTATATTTGCAAGAATATTAATAATAAGGGTATAAGTAAAAATATATTAAGAGCATCTTTTGTAAGACATTTTCCTCTTATTTTTTTTCATTAATATATGATTTAATTTATTTATTCTCTTTTTTTTTATCGACAAGAAATTATCATCGTAGAATTAAAACAGAGTTTTGACAATGAGAAGTAAAATTACGAATATATTTTGTTTTAAATTAAAGACATTGGAAAGTGTTTTGGACAGCTGCTAGTGTTTCCTCAGATCTTATTTTCTTATAACACAAGGGATTATTTTTGCATCTACTATTTTTCGAATATTTTTTTTCCAAAGATGAAAGGCGCAATTTTTGAAGTGTCCGACGAACGCGTTCTTCTTGATCGGGCATGCACGCAGGGTTTGCACGATGAGGAATGACCGCTCTTTCTCGATTGAACTCGGCTGAAGGACGCGTCTGAAAGTCGCTCTCGAACAGACTAAAGCAAACATAAGTAAATGTGCAAGCGCAAATTGGCAAATTGTAACCCCGGCCGCTGCTAACCGATCTGGATAGAAAATACAAAACAAAAAGAAAAGAGAAAGATAAAAGTCACACGTGAGAGAGAACAAAAGAGAAATTAAAAGTCGTCCCCTGTGTACACATGCGGTACGTGCAGCCTGAAGAAACCGGTCAAGTACGATCCCAGCAAGAGCGAGGCGTACAAGGCCCTGCAAGAGGAGGAATACGGGGATCAGATGCAGGAAGTCAGACAGCCGGCTCGCACCGGTGTCTTCACGCCACAGAAATCGAGCAGGGTACGTACATTTTTTTTCTTCTCGGCAATTCCACGCTCAATTTTTTCGTCTTGAATCAATAAATTCTTCTCTTTCCACTGGTAAAAAAATTTTTCATATCTGCAGATATGAAAAATTTCCTGAAAACTACCATTTCGTCTTCTTTGGAAATTATACAATGAACAATTTCAGAATTCGCATAGATATATAAAGAATTCTAGGAAAGTGTAAACTTCCTCAGTATTTCTGAAAAATGTTCCAATATAATATAAAAACTCAGAAATTTTGTAAAAAGTTATATGAAGAATGAGGAAAAATTTGCAGAGACTGCGTTCAACGATACTATTTGTTGTACAGGTGTACCAGGCTCCGCCGAAGAGTCCCGCATATGTAAGTATCCGCATTATTCTCGATCAGATTTACGATCGATTTTGCGGGACGCACAGTAGAAAATATTTTGCCGGGCTGAGATCACGCGGAAATGCATTTCTCACTCGCATGTCGCCGCATGGGTTCTGTGCAAGAATTTCAGAGCTGTCGCCGCAGCTGCGTAGACTACTATATTCTTGACGCGAATTTGAGAATCTTCACATCTCGCGCGCGAAATCGGTCGGCCGCATTGCTCACCTCGCAGATCTATAGAGATTGTAGAGAAGCGTTGAATTGTTGAAAAAAATTTTCGATGATTTCGACAAGGAACATATTTTGAGATTATTTCTTTTCGTCGTTAAAATAGCAAGATAATAATTTTTCACGTTACTCAATTACCGGGTCACTTTTTACTTCGCCATTTATTTATCGAAAAGATTTATCGATCACTGGCTCGGCACCACGTACTCTATAAGTTACCCAACGCAGCCGGACGATAAAACGGCATCGGATTATATAAGCGACTTGGCACGAGACGCTATTTCTCCTGTACTTCTTTCTTTTTCGTCTACTGAAACACCGTGCCAAGTCATCTCTCGGTAATAATCGCTCGCCGCGTCTCACCGACGGAATATTGCGCGGAGGATTTGACACTTCCTCCTTTAAGGATGTATTATACGCATTTTTTAACAAAACAAAAAAAATTACATTTTTTTATATCGCGTTTCAGAGCAATATAAAACGTTTAGAGACGATTTAAAAAGACTGGATCAAAAATTATTTCAATAAGTAGACATGTTTTAAAAATATAATTAAGATAAAATGAGAAAATTTTCATTTAAACTAAAAAATTGCTAAATATTGACCTTATTCAACTGTTTCGTATGTATATGACATTCATTTTTAAGTCTTTATACAGAAATACTACAAAATTTCGATTTGTCATTTTTTTTTGCAGAAATTATACATTTATAATACATCCTTAAATGTTCAAAGACATATTTCTCGTCAAATCGCTCCGATTGTTTAACGATAATTACCTCGTGTTAATACATCTAACATATATTATTGTCACTAACGTTAACCATCATACTCAAAGACGCCACCGATCTAATCTTCGGCATCTGTTTCGTTAAGGGTGGATCATATAGACGTCCTTTTCCTCTCCCTTTCGTTAAGGATCTTATCAACGACTATTAAAATTTCCGCAGAAACTTGTACGTGCATTTTCTGATACTTTTACATTAAATGCTCACCTGCCTCTGCGTAGAGAAATTAATTCATAGGATAAATGCGCTCTCACTGCAATACTATATTTGTTTTCTACATACTGCGCATTAATTCACTACGAATATATGCATGCCGCTTTGCGAGATAGAAAATACGCCTTAATACAAATTAAAACGTAGCTCATTTGTGGAGCACTTTTATAATTTGGAGACGTGGAGAGCGGTTGCGAATAATTCAATTTTCAGATAAACGTGCTCGATGATGACGGCGAGAAGATCCATCAGAGCAACAGCTTCAAGAGGATTATGTACAGTGTGCTGGGGCAGACCGAATTTTAAGCCGAACTGACGCTATAAATATATTACATCGTTTATTTATATTATAAATAAATCTATATATTTTATTTATTGTACTACGCAAAATAAAACGAGTGTCGAGCGTGTCCAGCTTAGGCAATTAAATCACACTATTGCACCAGCGAAGATCTAGAAGCGCGAATTTGACGGAATTCTAGGTCTGTTCTTTTTCCATCCCAAGTTCTGAACTGCTGTACACTGATGCGATAAATTAGAGTGAGACAGGTATAGTTTGTTTCATTCTAACTTATTGCACTAGTTCAGAATTCTTCGGAAAAGAACAGACTTTCTACTTGATATTCATTGCTTACTCGATGAAATGCAGTGCCGTGTATCTCTTAAGCGTAATAATAGTTACTTTAATACGCGCCGTTACTAGTACGTGGCTTGCAACATTGCATTCTACTCGAGATTAATACTTTTCGCTGGCCTGCACCAAAATAGCTTACTCCTTTCTTTCCACATATTTCGATGTATCTATTTTTTGACACTCTACACACTATATTATACTTTTAACATCACGCACAATAAAAAATTAATTTTCACAAAATATGAGTTTTTTAATCTTCCTTTCTTCTCCAATATTTCAATTTATGGAATCAATTTTTCTTCTCGCGATTTGAGTACTTGTTATTTAATAGGTATCAACATATCGCATTTCTTAACGTTCTGAAAAAAATCTACGCAATACGAACTACGAATTTTCTTTCTATTATTTTTCAAGGAACTATTTCGAAGGGGGCAAGATTAATCACGACACGTGGAGACGATGAGACAATTTAATTCAATCAGCAATAATACGCTACAATATCGGGTGTAATATCAGTGGTGTTTGCTAAATAAAATTTTTTAATGTCACATTTGTTCGACAGAAAATTTGTTTTAAGCACATATGTGTTCCGTGTATTATTGTTACAATTACGCATATATGACAGATACAACGGATAGGAACAAGTAGAACGGTAGGTATTGTGTCTTTTATTGAACTAATAATATCGCGTGCTAGATCAATAGAGACATCACATAACTATCATTTTGTAAGGTATTAAGTAAAATAACAAGACCGCTTTCTTGTCACCGATTGCTTTCCGACAATACAAAACGAATATTACAAGGCTCTCTTTTGATCAGCGCAAGGATCATGCAGCCATAGCGTCTCAAAATTCTTCGTGCGTCCCATTTTTCAAACGATCCAGATAGAAGAATATTAAATACTACGCACTTTCGCTACGCTATATACGTGGCCACGCGAGCCACGGCTTTTTTTCAGCTAAATTATTATTAAAATTAATTCCTAAACGCTATTAGATATTACTAATTTGTTTTCTACTCTCAACTTTTTTACTGAGAGCTGTATCCGTCGACACTGTCCATGGGGTAGCACTAGGGCCTCGGTCGCGACACGCATTCAAGTTTAAACCAAGATTGAAGATCCGAGTTCGATGTGTTTCTATTACTAGCACCTAATGCCGTGTCAGTACAACCGAAGCCAAGCAGAGATACACGTATCTCGAAGGATTAGTGCTACGTCACACTTCTTTTGCGTCGAGAACGCGCTGCATAATCCGCCAATCATTTAATTTTTTATAAAAATACAGCGACGATAAAAAGTTAAAGTGATTGGCAACAGTCTCATGGCGCATAAATAAATTACTAGAGAAAAAAAATTAGCCATTACGTACCACGTAGCCTTTTGCCATAGACAGTCTCTTCGGTTCGAAGTGTACTACAGGACTATACGTTACTACACGTTAAAATGTACGCGCTGCGTAACATTGCATAAATTAATAATACTTTCCCTTTCTGTAAAATCTTATCGACTTCACAAAATTAATTTAGAATTAAAGTACAAACAGGCTGAAGTACAGAGAACAATGAACGCACAAATGTTTCACGTTTACACGTAGATCAATGGACTAGCAGCAAGTTTCTCTTTTTTTTTGTTTAAATATATATATATATATCTACAAAATGATATATATCTAATTTTCAAAAACCCAATCACACGCATTAAGCATATCATTCAGATCTACATGTGAAAACACGCAGATTCAAGAAAAAAAATGCATAAAAATCACATTCAAACGTAGGTAAAAAGAATCAAATACACATGTAAATGAGTAATTGATTGAGACAGCATGAGCTAAAAGCTACTATAAATTAATAATCAATATTCAAGTATATTAATTGAAAGCTATTACAGTTTAGCCTGTGAAACTGTGATAGCTGTGTATGTACATGCGTCAATAGGAAAAAAAGGAAAAATTGAGAAATAAGAGAAAAAAAATATATTTCAAATAAACGAGTGTGAAACATTTGTGCGCGC